TTGTGGTTTGTCTCTAGGACTATGACAGGAGCAGATTTAACATGCTTCTGGTGTCCCTTTAGAAACTGATAGGCAGAAGCGACTGGGGATGGAGCTGTGACATTTAAGGCTCTGTAACAGATGCATTGAATTACAGGTCTTTTACATGCATTATAGAAATGGCTAGCCAATATGTTTATAGGTTGTGCTTTCTTTGTGTGTTTAAAAAAAAAAAGAAAACCCAACCAAAAAACAAACCGACTCAAAAAAACCAAACCAACAAAAAACCCCCCAAAACCCACAACACAACCCAAAACCAAACCCACCAAAAACCCCAAACTGTTTATTTGAGAGTGAAATACTTAATTTATTATTTATTACGGATTTATTCTGCTCAGTCTTTCCGAGCTGGCATTGTAATCTGTTTTTCTGCAAAGGTGAGGCATCGCCTGCTAATTAGTGTCATTAAATGGGTTAGTTTTAAATGAGAGCACACTCAACTTAAGTTACATGCTCAGTAGATCTAGCCAGTTATTTTTATTCTTTTGCTCAAATGCTCAGGAGCAGGGGAGTACTTTCTGTGTATCCCAAGGAATTGCTTAAAATTTATTTAGTGGTCCATTAAGAAGCATTGTATGGTTCAGCTGGGCCTGTGCTTTCTGTAATAGGTTTTTCATCCTGCTGGGAGTGTAAGGGGGGAACAATCATTTTTATTCATTTTTGTATGTGTATAAAGATAGATATTCTGTACAGCAAGCAGAGGGGAGTGATGCCCTCATGCTGCCACTGCATGAGACGGTTACCTTGCTAGCGTGAGGTCTGATTGTCTGTTAATGATCTTCAGTATTGTGACATGACCTGTGTAAAGCCTGCCTTCCCCAGCTTGTGCCAAAGGAAAAGGATAAAGCTGAGAAGGAAGACAAAGTTCTTTAAAGCCGCAGTGGCTGCAGTTTTGGGAGGCCGGAGGGGACTCAGTGGGCAAACTGGAGAGTTGGAGCTCACCTCGCTCGGGTCGTGGCACACTCAGCAGGAGCGTGGGCTGGCGATGCTGCCTCCCACCATTCCCAGTCACAGCTGGTTGGGGAGATGCTGTGGACCAGATCAAGAAACTTGGCAAACATAGCATGGGATAAAAAGAGAGAGAAAGAAAGAAAAGGGGAGAGGGGGACGGGGGAGAATATCCCTGTCCTCTCTCTGGTGGTGTCATCTCCAGGTGGTGTTGCCAGTGCAACTGAGGCTGCAGTGATCTGAGGGTGCTGCCAGACCTGCTACATTGTATTTTGGAGATTAAAAGCATAACCTTGGAGATGTGGAAGGTGCTCTGAGAGTAACAAAAGCCAGGAGAAGGGGTCTGTAGTCAAAAGGAGCACTCATGAAGTACTGGAGAGCCACGAGGAGACTGAGGATGGCAATTTGGATCTCAGTCATTTGTGTTGATCTGTTTACTTGCTGTGTTGCCTAAAGAGGGGACAATTTAGCAATCCCTCAGCCGAGTTTCATTTGCTTCAGCCGGGGTGTGTGTCCTTGAGTTAAACAGCTGTTGTAGCTCATAGTTTTCAAGCCTGACCCATATGTTCTGCCCCGAGGCAGTGTGCCTTGAGCTGGGAGTCACCTCCATGGTCTGGCAGAGCTGTAACGTGGCCCCAGGCACCTCTCTGGCGCTGGGGCAGCAGCGTTGGAGGATGGGCAGGGTTGTGCTGCACACTCTGTGACATTCTTCCTCCAGCTCATGCAGCATTGGGGGTTGTGGATGAAAGTGCCAATCTGGAGCTGTGGTTTTGAGGTTGAAGGTGTTTGGTGGAGAAATGGGTGTATGTGCAGCCTAGTACAGCACTGGGAGCCTCTGCCTGTGGCGGTGGTTCCCAAGTCAGCCGGGGAAGCGTTGGCTAAAGGAAACGTGAAGTCCTGTGGGAGGTTCAGAAATGTTCGGGCTGGTTTGCTGGGAAGTGTTTCTCTGTTCTTGCGCTCTTCCCTGGGTGTTTGCTGCGGGAGGTAAGATTTACCTGGAAGCTGAATGGGCAAGAATATGCAAGGATTGTGTCCTGCCTGGACACTGCCTGGGGCGGGAGCTGCATGGGACAGCCTTTGAATCGGCTGTTTCAACCCAGTAGTAGAAAAGTTGCCAGTTCTATACCTTTCATTTAAGGACAGGATAAATGGCTTTCTGTGTTGCAGGCTTCAAGATACTTACTCTTTTTTTTTTTTTTTAAAGTCTGGATTGCAGCTGAGCTTTTAATTTGATTGTATTTCTCTCAAATACTTACCTGTCTTGGCATTGAGACTCTCAATTCCTGATTTCTCTATTCTGACAGACACCGCAGCAATACATGCTCTGGCACGTCCCTCGAAGCCTCTGGTTGATCCCCGTCTGGAAGACAGTCAGATAAAAAGCTTTCAGCTCCTCCTTATCTTTTTGGACAGTGTGAGTGGTGCTGGGAGTCTTGATTTAGGCCGAGTGTCTGCTGCCTTCATATGCTGCGTATTGCATCTCGCTGTGAGGAAATCGTGTTGCGTGGGTCACTTTTTAGGAGGCGCACTGAAACAAATGAACGCTTTCTTTCCACTAAGCAAAAGGAGTGTCTTCACTGGAAATTACAGTAGCCCTCTTTATCCTAACGCAAGATCTAGGACATGCTGTGACAGTCCTTCTCACGCTTTTGGTACAATTGTTTAGCCAGTCTCGAAAGAATAAGGAATCTCTGGTGATGTATGTTCCATTTCTAGCTCGATTGGTCTGCGGTGACAGATCCTGGCACATCAGGTTCTGTATGAGAGTTGGGTGAGGTTTCATGGTACTTTTGTCTTTTTGGTGTTTACATACTCACTTGAAAATGAAGGATAAAGTTCAGAACTGAGGGGAAGATGGAAAGTAAGAATGTGAATGGTGTATAAAATGCTGTCACTTAAAGTTTACAAGAAGAGAGGACAGTAGAGTCTTTGAAGCTTGTGGGATATGCACCTCTTTTTGAAATGTGTTAGCCAGGGGGTGTGGTGTGTTTTTTTTTTTCTGAAATAGTGTTCAGTTTGGTAAGGTATGTTTTTATGTGTGAGAAATAGGAAAGTACTTCAGTTGCAATATTACTTTTATTTGAAAAATAATATTTGAGTACAGTCATTGGAGCGTCATACTTTAGCTAGTTTGGTCTTCGAGTAAGCAAAGGGCCTGAAGTTAGTTAATGCTATGCAGTCCTCAGATGTATGCCTTTAGGATCTAAGAGGCAATGCTAACTTCATATTTGAAAGCTCAGGGAACAAATATTATATGTTGTTTTCAGGGTACTTTGGGGTTGGGTGGTTTTTGGGGTGGTGTTTTTTTTTTTTGCTTCACTACACCTTGCAATAGTTCTTACCACTTCATGCCTTGTCACATGGAAAGATGCATTGTAGAGCAAATACTTTCATGGTAAACAGGAGACTTTTGAGTTTTTAAAAAATGAATTCAGGAGGGTTTTCTCCAGAACTATGCTATTGCTCTGTCTTGCAAATAATTGTCCAGTTAGCTTGTGGTGCTACTTAATGAGCAGGAAGTGAATGTTTCCAGAATCACTTCAAAAGGTAGTAGATGGTTTGTCTAACGTCCAGCTGTGGTGGTGGACCTCAGAAACATACTGTGTGTTCTCCTCCAAGATACTGCACTTTTTCAGTCATGAAGTAATCATACCAAAAAATCAGAGCAAGGGGTAATATTTGACCAACTAGTGTGATGGGGTGAAGGGCATGAGGCAGTGGGCCAGGCATGTGGGTGCACACCTACTTCTCCAGGTTTCTTACATGTCTTAAAGCTTGTTGGTTTTTCTCCCATTTCAATTTTAGTTGGTCAGGTAAAAGATTCAGTTAAAGAAATTATTTGAGCACTGGGAGTGTCAAAAAGGCTGTATTTGGCCAGTCCAAACTAGGTTTCTGTATCCCTGAGTGTCTGTGACCATATACTTACAGAAAATAACAGAGCATGTATAGAGTGACATTGACTTGGGCATATTCTTCCAGTTTCAAGTGACTGGTTGTTCATTAATTTCAGAGCTGTTGATGGATCTGTTTTTGTATCTATTTATATTTCTGACCTTTACAGCATCTTGTTGTAATTGGGCATGGGTATGTGGTCCAAATTCCAACTTTTAACTATTTACCTGATAATTTCACTCTTCTTTAATCCTTGTATTTGCTAAATAATGAATAATCTTTCCATTCCTGTTCACCAGTCATGTTCCTGGTGAGTTTGTATATCCTTTCATCACTTGTTTTCCAAGTGTTTCTGGTATCTTTTTGCAAAGAAGAGCAAGAAGTTTAGATTGCACTGATATTTTTATCATTCTTTGTAGCTTTTATGAGAAGGGGTGACCAGAGCTACTTTCAGGATTCAGGAACAGTGCTTTCTGTCATAGTGTATCCACTGTATATGTAATTGTATCTAGGTAGTAGATTATTAACAAGTTAAGTATAAAAATTAAAAGTGATCTTTTGTACATGGTTTTATTTGGATGAAGCGTGTGATGATACAACAGTTAAGACTGATGGAGCACTTAAAGCTTACAGGATGTCTGTAACCGTGTGAAAATATCAGTGTATATTACAGATCTGAAGCTCAATATATATGAAGTTCAGAATATAACTTGATGCAAAAACATTTTTCTTTGTAAACTTCCTTTTAAAGCTGGCTGTCTCTCCCCTCCCTATCATCTATAGGATTTAATACATACTAACAATTGCAGCATTTTTTTCAGTTGCTGCAGCTTGATTATGAGATTATTAACATTTAAAACTGGAGTGAATTGATAGCATTACAAAATGGAGAGAAAAAGGGAGCAATGGTCAAATATTGAGATCTTTATAAGCTGTCTTCTGAGTTCAGCAATTAGGAATAAAGTTACTTACCTTAAAATGGGAATTAGAGGTAAAACATCCTGAAAATATGCTTCATGCCAACCTTGTCCCTGTTGCAATTTGTAGTGCGATTCTGTTACCAGACTAGTAAATTGTATCATTTTTACAGCTTTAAGAAACTTATATAAACACGTGAGAAGATGACAAGATCTAGATCAAGATCACCACGATGGAAACCACGGTAAATATTTATCTAAAACTTAGGTTCTGAAATGTAGCTTTGTGTAAGGATTTATAATTAGGACATTAAACTTGCATAAAAGAAAGAAAATTGCATCCAGAACTGCAATTTGTAAAATGTATTCTATAAATTATAATTTGTTTTACAAACTGAACAACTTCTGCAATTTTCTTCCCGACTTGCAATTTTGTTATTACGATTTTCTAGGGTGGTTTGGTTTTTGTGTGTGTTTTTTTAAGATGGAGGTGTTAAGGTTTTGCCCTCTGCCAAGAACCTTGTTCAGCTTGCATGTTTTGGGACTCGGAACTATCTTAAGTGCAAAATTCAAGCACCAAACTAGTTTAGGTTATTTTTACTCAAACACCACCTGGTGCACTTAATGTCTGTAGCTCAGTCCTGTTTTGCCTCTTGGTCTACAGGGAGGGCCAGGGCAACCATTAAAAAAAAAAATAAAAATTCTTATTTCAAACACCTCAGGCTTTATGAGCCTTTGGGGCTCATCTGCATATTGATCTTTAGCACGGTTTGTGCCTTGCGGCATAAACTGAACTGAAAACATGGGAGTCGGTGGCCTTCTTTTTGGACACTAGCCTAGTAGCATGTCCTTGATGTATGTCACCAGAATAACATCCAGGTTACTTCATGCTGTTAGTTCCCTGCCTAATTTTTAGGACTTGCAATGCAAATTTGAGGTGTTCGAACTAGAAGGTTGGAATACAATTTTAAACTTTCAAGAACTATTAGCGTGTAATATGAAACTATTTTTTTGCTGGTTTTGTGTTGTTTTGCTAAATAGGCTAATGAAGCTGTGACGACCAAGACAAGGGAGGTTATTGGATAACACAAAGATTTGTGTGGGTTTCTGTTTTTTTTTGTTTTTAAAAAGAGAAATCTTATCTACCTCCAGACTAGACTGATAGTTGTGAATATGTCCTTTCCATGAAGGACAAGGAGGAATGCCCCAGCTCTCATTAAAATGCAAGCGTTAACTAGAACAACATGGGGCAGCAGTATGGATGCTGTTGGAAGTTAGCCATTATAGTTTTATGAAGATCTGTGATTCTGAATTTGAACTCATTTGCAGAAATGGAGCAAATAGTTATGCCAAATCGTACATTTGCAATACGTGTGCAAAGGAAGTTACTTCCTTGAATTTTTTCAACTTAATATTTTTCAATATTTTTATTAAAGAGTGTATCGAGAGTGTACAGTGAATACTTTGAATACAAGCAGAACTGTTAGGTCTGGGATTATTTTCTGGTTCTTGCCTGTGGCTTATGCTGTTTTTTCTTTGTTTAAGGAGATTTTGGCTAAAAACTCTTAACAGGTGGCTTTCATTTTTGTAACTGTAGGTGAAAACGCAAAACTGAGTGGTGCAATTGAGTGGATCTTAGCAGTTAAATCTTTAAGCTGCAGTAAGTGTGGAAGCACGTGTATACATGCTTATACATGTGTACATGTACACGCCATTATACAAAAAGACCAAAGCTTCTTTCTCAAACTTGGTCGTTTCTGCAGGAAAAAGCCTACCTGTGTGACATTTTAAATAGGATATTTTGTAATGTTTTCAGTCATTTTTTGGGGGTTGTTGGGGCATGCAAAGAAAACCTGAAAAGGTTTCCCTTTTTGTATTACTTTTTTGGCTTTTTTTCCTTCCCTTTTTTTCTCTTGGCACTGAAAAAGATAGGGAATACTTGAGAAGTGTGACAGTGTGTAAAACTTGTTTTCAGTGTAGTGGAAGCTTCATATATCTGAAATTATTTTTAGTTTTAAATGAAAAAATGCAAAGAGAAAAATGATTGACTAAATTCTATTGAGTGGTTATTTTTACGATGTAAACTTTGAACAGAGTAAAAGTATGCTTGGTACTCTAGCCAGGCAGATGACACTTTAAATATCTTGGCTTGTTTTAGTTTTTTTTTTTAACCAGTTGATTAAAATTGTGTACTAAACTATACTTCCTTAGGGAGCAGATATTCTCACCAAGAGGTTAATTCAATTTTATGGGACTACTCAAAGTGGATTTTGTTTTTGCCTTAGGTCCTTATCTCCAGCATTTCGGAGTCCAGAGCACCATAGACAAAGGCATGCTCATATTAATTATGACTGTGAATATAAAAGCTTTCGTAAGGACCCAAAGAAACCTATGCCTTGGAGAACAGAAGATGAAAAATACGGACAAAGCAATTCCAGATTTGCACCTCATAGAAGTAACCATCAGAGAATATATGAACGTAGATCACCTTCACCAAACTTGAAAAGAATTCCCATGGAAGATACTTACAGTCATAAGCCCTACAGAACACATTCATCCGAAAGAACTGAAAGCAATAGATGTCGTCAGTTACCACCGAAATACTCAGAAATACCATATAAAGAGCATGATCGTATGTTTTACCAACACAAAATGGAAGAAAGATACATGTTTGAGTACTACAAAGTCACTGGAGATGAAAAAGGAACGAAACCTTTTCATAGACCGTTAGGGGCTTCATGTAAACTTGAAAGAAAATGGCATGAAGATGACTTGAGGCACCAGAGGTTACATGAAGAGAAGTATGGTCAGTCACCCAGAAGAGTTTCTGATGAATTTACGACAAGGAGCTCTTTACAGAAGAGGTATAGGAATAAAATAATTAAAACCTGGGTATTGTGGTATAAAGCCTCAAGTGAAAGTCTGTTTCCATTATAGTTGAAGATACCCACCTTGAAACACGTTGGCCACTTTGTAGTTTAATTATGGGCGACTGGTAGTAGTGAAGTATTTGTCTTTTAAGTAAATCATGTTGGTGGCTAGAGTATGAAAGGATAATATTTTCCTCTTAAGAGCCCCTGCACATCTGTACCTTGGCGTGAGGGATGTCGGGTTAACTTGCCACGCATTCTGCTGTCCAACATTCTGCACATATAAGTTCTCACTTTCTTCTCTAGTGCAAGTGTAAATTGCTTTATGTCAACACAGGTATCCTGAAGATCACGATTACAGAGAATATGGGCACACGTCTAAAAGGGCTAAAGAAATGGAGAGGTATGACGGTGGAGAAGTACCAAGAAATTCCAAGTGGAAGGAAGAACGTTCTTTTCCACCCTACCAAGAAAAGGAGGAGCAAAGAAATCTGGGCGGCCAGTCCCACCGTTCGGCTGAAAGGGAGTACTCGGAGGGTTCTGTCACAAAGATAGCCTATGAGTACAGTCACAAACGGCGTGGGCATCTGGATGGGGAAAAGCCTTTTTCAGACGATAGAGCTCAGAAGTATGTGAAGCAGGAAGACCAGAAATATGGTTCCTCTAAGGGTGTCCGGAATAGCAAAGAGTTAGATTACTTTAGCGGTGGAAGAGCGAGACGGACTGAAGAGGGGCACATTGAAGCACCTGTTAAATATAGTTCAAAGAAGGGCTGCAATGCTTGTGTTAACTCTTCCAAAATGGATGTTGATCCGAGATCTTTTAAAAACAAACCGAAGGAAAGAGTAAGGAAAGAAGGGGAATTCAGGAAAAAAGTAGATTCCTCCGATAGCCAGCATGATTCAAGTCACACTGTTTCAGATGTGAAAATGTCAGATGTCAACTGTAGGAGGGAACATCTCACAATCAAAGTGGATATGAAGAAAATGTTGACCAAGTACAGGTATTGGTTTCCCTTCACCTCTTCTTTCTTCCTGTCTCTTTGCAATTTATGAGAATGGAAGGAAAGCATGGCTTCTTTAAGAGGTAACCAGGACAAACTAAGGTTGTACCCTTTAAATTTTATTTAATTTAAAATGTTCACTAGCCCAGACTGGAAATTTATAGCTTACCTCTATTAAAAAACAAACTAAAACCCAACAACAACAAACCTCAAACTCACCCTAGTTCGTTTCTTGGAGATATGTAGCAGGAAGTGGAAAGAGCAGATATGCCTGATACAAACCTGTAGTTAAAAATTGCTTATGATAAGTAAATGTGTTACTTTTATTTAAAAACAACAACAGGAAAAAAAAACCACAAAAAGAAAAGCAGAAAAGCTTAGTCCTGTGCTTTCTTCTAAAATATGATGGCATTTTTTGACTACGAGTCATCCCTTACTTCTAAAAACCAGATAACCTTTAAATTACCTAAATCTCGGGCAGGCATTCAGATGTTCAAGATCTCAAGTTCAATAAAGCTGTTGAAAAATTAGAGACTTTTGGGTTATGTTATTTATTTTTATAACAAATGAAGTGGCAATCTGGTAAGGCATCAGAACTGAAAAGCAGTAGAGTCTGCTTCTGTCTATCTTCTGTGTAATGCTTGTGGTTGCCTTTAGCATTCCCAATGCTGGCTGAATTGGAAGAAAGTGGTAATATTATGAAAATTTAGACGGATGCATGGCAGAGTGTAAGCAGCTTGGTTTGTGTGGATTTTTGCAGGCTTTTCTGGTTTGTTGCCTTGAGGTTGCAGGCAAGAATATCCTATAATGGCAGTAATCCTTTTGGAAGGGATTACCTTCCCTTTCAGAGTGATCAGCCTTCATTTTAAAGGTATTTTGCCTCTTGTCTCAAATAAATAAAACATCTATATCATTTTTTCCCAGTATTTCAGAAACACCTAATACGATGGAGAGTTACAAAAAGGCGAGTTACTGTCTGCACATAAGGGGCTAATGTTAAAGACTGAGGAAGGGAGGGTAATGCCTGCCCCAGCAGGCTAGGACAAGCATTTAACTTCCTGAATGATAATGTATGGAAAATAACTTAATTATTGTTGGGTTTGTTGCAAGCCCACAGAATGATTCCTGTATCTAGTAGCCTCTTGCTGCTGGTTTTGAAAGTCATGCATAATGGACGTGGTAATTATTTGCAGACTGAAGAAGCTACTATGTTGATTACAGCTAATTTAATGTTTGGAAGGTTTGCTTCTGCAGCCAAAAGTGCTAAATGGTTTAATTTTTTTTAAAAAAAAAAAAGATGAGTGCCAATTTTGCAGAAGCTGATGACTGGGAATATACATGCTGCCTACTTCAGGCAATTAGCAAACACCTGACTTCAAATGACTCAGCTGAGAAGAATACCTTCTTTATAAACCTGGAGAGCAGGTAGATAATTGAAATCATCTGCAAGTGTGGTTGTTTGGATTCCCTCTTGCATGCATTTATTTCCAGTTTACTAGGGTCAAATAGATGACTTCTGGCACCTGCTAGAGGCTGCTTCTGATATAACTTTTTTATGAAATTCTGGTCTTGTATGGTCCAAATACAGGAAGAGCAGGCACATAATCACTTTGCAGAATGCGCAGTAAACAGAGTCTTTATCTTGTAAGCTTTTTACATGGGCTGTTTGAGTGTTCTATCTTTCCAATGACAAGCATTTTCCTTGCAACAAGAACAGCAGGATTTTTAAAGTGTTAGCTTCCTTGTCAAAATAACTCTTGAGCAGCAGTGCAACCATTTGGAGTGTAAACTTACTGAGAATGAGTAAAATTTGACAGAAAGGTGCTAAACGTGTTCTGAAGTTCACACACTGCCACTGGGAAGCTGTTCCACTAGGCTTAAGTGACGATTCAGTTCCCAAAGACACCATGAGATTTTTACATCTCTGGACTGTTCTTGAAAATTGTCTGGTACCTCCTTATAAACAAAGAAACACATAAAATTGCCTTCCAGAATTACACTAAAGAATTATATCAGGATCTTAATTTGCCTGTTTTATTTGATAATCTAGATGAATTAATTTCAAAATTCACAACTTTTGTAATGCATACTTCACTGAAACAAGGATTCCTGAGAATGTAGTCATATCTTTTTGTATTTTATTATAGCCTTTCTTCCTTATGGCCTTAGGAGTGTTTTTAATTAAAAAAAAGGAACAAAAAGAGTTTTCAGTTTTATCACATTTATTTCTAAAATGAACTTAATTTACTGTTTTTTTTCTACTCACCTATTTCAAGTTTTCAGATACAGTGAATTCTTTCAAAGTGAGTGTCTGTAAATTTTTATTCTAGGACTGCTTCTAGCCATACTACAGAGAGACAGATGTCACATGATCTGGTTGCTGTTGGCAGGAAAACCGAAAATTTTCATCCGGTGTTTGAGCACATGGAATCTGTAACACAAAATGTTGAAAACGACCCATCAAGAGAATTTACTCAGGAAATAATTACAATTATCCATCAAGTTAAAGGTGGCTGTAATATTTGGGGTATATGTATGTGTTTATGTATTTATAATTATTAAAACTGAATCTAATGAATTAGACATGCTCTCCTTGTAAGTCTCAGGTGTTTGCTTTTGGCTTCATTCTGTATCGTTGAAGGAAAATGTAGGTCGAGGATTTAAACTGGTTGGGTGGAGAATGATTGTAAGAAGGTCTCAGTCCATAATAGAGGCATTATTGTGGAGTGTTACGGTTGAAAGGATTTTATGCTAGTGCTTAAGACTAACCTGCTTGTTTAGGAATGCGAGAAGAAGAAAGGAGTTTTGCTGTAGTCACAACTTTCTAGTTACTCTATAGTTTCTTTAATTTTTCAGATTAGTGTTTAGGCTGCTGCATCATGTTCAGTGTTGAACTTTACAGATTCTAGTCCTTTGAGTACTACCATGATAGAGCTGGCAAATAGTTAACTTTCTATTCAGCTTAATCTTACTAGGTAAGAAGATGTCGTAAGTTGGGCTGGCCTAGTCTTTCATTTGTGACTTGTTAAACTGCAAGTGGAAACAGTTTGAAATTTTAATCTCAGAAGTTGTCTTGGTGTCCTTAAGAGTTAATCTTTTAAAAGATATGATTTCCCACTGTGCATTTCAAATACTACAAATAAAGACTCTTGTATTTAATATCTCTTCACAGCAAATTATTTTTCATCTTCTGACATAACTCTACATGAACGGTTCTCAAAAATTCAGGATAAACCAATTGCAAATATGAATGAAGTTAAAATACGTTTGGATCCAGAAATTCACAGGTAATTGCTGTGCTTTTGGCCTTAATTTATTTGCATTGAGGTTGTTGATCTTCAGTAGACTTTACACAAGGTACTGTGCTTTTTCACTGACTCTAAACTGCCTGCCTGTAGTCTGTAAAGAATTCTGTAGTTGATCAGTAATGCCTTTGCTAGTTATAGTGATGGCACTTTGTTTTCATGTAATGTTTTTGTGTTCCAGGAGGATTGACATGTCTCTAGCCGAACTTCAGAACAAACGAACTGTGCCATCTGAATCTCCCCAGGTATCTTGATTACTCAACTTTTTGGGGCAAACAGTAAGTTAAAATGATATAGATGTTAACAACACTTTCCCCTTGCTATTGGTAAATAATTTTTACATACTTTGAGGCGATCAGTAGTTCTGACTAATTTGAAAGAAATGCACAATTGAGCATATTCACAGATACCACAGTGGTGGAAGTATACAGTGTTCACTGAGTAAAATGCAGATGTGTTCTCCAGAGTAGCTGGAGGGTGGTTATTCCTGCTGCTTGAACCTTTGTCGTTTTAAATAGTGTAAATACTAAGTAGGTGACTGACATGCGACCCTTGCTTTCTGTCTGAGATTAGAAAAAGCCTTGATGTTTCTTCTACCCTAATGTTAGCATGGCCTGATACCCACATAATTCCTCAGAATGCTATTTTATCCCAGGTTTTCATCCAGGGACGTAAGATTTTCTGTCTTCCCCTTTCAAGCTTCGTTTACTGTGATTTAGTTACCGTTTTCCTCTATAGTACAGGTGTGTGGAAATTCAACTTAATTAAGAATAGTAGAACTTCTTAAGATTTACTGGAATTTACGTGAATATTTTTGCCTTTGCAAGTCCATGCAGAATTCCAGTGCTCCGTTCACTGTTACTTGGAAACTTGTGAAAAGGCAGATGGTGCAAGAAAGGATAATGGTTTAGGACTGCTTTTTGTTACTGTTTTGGACTTTGCATCCTTGGGTTGATGCGCATCTGTCCTGCACGCAGATAACTGGACCACGTTAACAAGGTTACATACCGAATGCAGCCCCTGAAGGACAGAATCACGTCAGTGTTTAGTTATTACTAGGTAACTTGACTTTAACCCTTTCTTTTAACTAGAACATTATGAGAGTGTTAGAAGATCCGAATGATCTGCGGCATGATATAGAAAGGAGAAGAAAAGAGAGATTGAAGAATGAAGATGAGAGAGTGTTTCATGTAGATAGCATAACTCCAAGGTAATTAGCAAATAACAGTCTTGTTGGCCCAAGCCTGTAGTTCTCTTACACATTTATTTTTTGACTCTTCCACAGTTATGTTCACATTTGCGATTCTTTTCCATAGTTTGTCCTTGGACTGAAAGTCAACTGACATACGTTGCAAACTACTCTGTAATAGTATTACCTTGAAACAGGTGAAGCTGCAGTGGGGAAGAAAATGAAAAGCAAACTCAAACTATAGCACTGAATGGGAAGAGGGGAAAAAATGAATTTAAAGGTGCTTAACTGCTTTTAAACTCCTTGATGTTCCATATAACAACATTCTCTTGGTATTTTGTAGTTTCATAAAAGCATTCTAGGATGAATACGTCGTTGTGTTGCCCTGGTTGTTTAGTAATGTCATGTGGAATATCAACAAAGAATTGTAATTTTTCTGATTCTTGGCGAATTGTATGACAAAAAGCTAGATTTTTGGGATGTCTTTCTACTGCTATGAATTCCTCCAACAGGTTTGTTAAAGGTTTTTGGCCCAGAGGTGTTTGTTAGCCTCAGTCATCCAGTTTTCACTTTTGATGTTGTGAGGTTGGTTGATCAGAGAGATGACTTGACTTGTTTGTGTTAGAAGAAATGTCGATTGAAGAATTGCCAGAGTGTAATGAAATGTGTTTGTACCATAGTCTGATTTGCAGATCACTCTTAATATGCTACTGTTTGTTCATTTTAAATGCAGCCTATAATGGCAAATGGTGGCAATGCATACATACTTGGGAAAACTGACTTGTAAAGCTGTAAAAGAAATTTATGGTATTTGAGATTCTTTAAACAAAAAACCTAAAAGTATATAAAATGGAAAAAAAATTTAACTGTTGTATATAGCCTTTTATGTACCTGGGGCTATGTCTTTAGTGTGTGTTTGGCCTTGTTACCTGGGAAGGCTTTTATTTACCACTTCCACAGTTACTGTCTTGCTTACCTTTTATGTGTGCTGCTCAAAGCGAGAAGCTCAAGTTTCTCCAGTAAGTGTGATTGTCCTGGAGCTCAATGTGAGGAGGGGTTACACTGTCAGAGTTGGTGGACAATGTAATGTGGGCTGAGGGCAGTAATGCTGTGAAAGATGCGTAGAATTTACCTGAGGTTGGGTTAGTTTTTTTCATTGTTCACATACGAGATACTGGCAATGCTTATGAGCTAGTCCAGTGTACCTCTGTTTTTGCCTTAGTAATTTATTTTGCAGCTATGCAAGCTGTTTCTATATGTTTTGTGAACTATGAATTTTGACTTCTGCTAGTTATAATCTTTATGGTATGTGTTGTATTTAAAGATTTAGGGATATACCTCTATTAGCAATGTGCTCAGTAAAAAAACCACCCCAACAATCAAGCAAAAGCCCAGAGCCAAAGCACTCTGCTTGCTGAGGATGAAACTGGAGCATCTCTCCAGCATCTAGCTATCTGTCTGAGCTTCTGTCGGATTTGCGATTTAATGAAAAGGAAAGTTCTGTGCAACTTTAAAGATAGTGTAGTATAAAACAGCTGCTGAAGTGCAGAAAGCATTTCAACCAGCGGAGGGCAGCAATGACCAGCCATGGAGGCCTCGCTGAGTGAGCCAGGGGAAACTTGATTTGTGTAGCGAGGACTTCAAGGAGGGAGAGTATCTTTGTTAATTTGTCATTGCATAAGAGAATACAGCTTACTACATAATTCTGTGCAACTTGAGCTTGACTTTAATCATAGTACTAATGATTTGTCGAATGTCCTACAAAAAATTACTTAAAAACTGTCACTTTGCACTGCAAAGTGATACAGATGCTAGGCTAAGGTCATCTAAAATACAGAACTTTGATACACTATGGCTTTAGATTTTAATTGTTCTCTCTCTCTCTCCCCCCTCCCTCTCTCTCCCATTCCCCTATACACATCAGGAATCAGGAAAGCTGCAGTTTTTCAAAATTACAAAACGCACAACTTGATGGCTTCCAAAAGTCTATGAGGTTCATTAAGCCACCTTTCAGGAAATTTATTGGGAAACCTCACCTGGTAAGCCTAAATGTAGAATTGGTAACTTCTGCATTTGTTGTTCTTACATTTATAATTCATTTTTTGCTGCATTGTCTATGCTGATGTAAATTTAACAATCTGTGATGTCTCACCCTTTTAAATTTCAAGTGAGGCTTTATTATAGTCAGGTTTTTCTCCACAATAAAACTACTCATGATTTCACAGTTCTAGTGCAAGAGTACTTCCTCAGATACTTGTTGAAGCAGAGATTAATACAAGTGAGCTAAAACCACTTTTATGGCCAAATGCTGATACAACAAAAATAATTCTTTTGGTTTTCCATGTCCGTGCAGTACTCCATAACAGCTTTGCTACTGATTTTTATAACCTAGTAGCAAGTTGGCCAGGGATTTGTTGTTTCAGAAAGCTAGTTTAGATTGGTGTGTTGGGTGAAATAAAAATGTTTTTCAGGTAGTCTGGAAGTAAGGTAGTCAATTTTAGATCTCTTATTGAATAGCAGGAACAGGTCAAACTAAGCTTTTGAACTAAGTTTTAGGTTCAAAATGACTTACTGAAATTAACTGATTAAGGAGTTTTATGAAATAAAAACTCATATTGCTTGTAACTTTGTAAAATAAACTTGTACGTAGTACTGCATTTCTTCCTGTTCATGATGTACTTACTACCTGAACTATAAATTAGAAGGCTTTGTTACCGAGCAGATAACCTGAGGTAATGTGGAACAGTTTGAGAAAAAGGATATTCTCCTGCATTCTAGTTGCTAGTGATTGGAAGGGAAGGTCTGAATCCTGTTTTGTGTAGGTGATGTTGTTACTAAAACAGTGTTTCTCCTCATTATAAAAAAAGCACTGGGAAGCTCTTATTTTAAAAACAAATAAAAATGAGGAACAAATCACAAAATAATTAGAAATGTTTGAAGTAACGTTCCTGAGTGTGCGATGTTATACAATGGAATAGCTTACCTGTGATGCCAAGTTTATCAAAGCTAGTTTGGGCACCTGTTCTGTTTTAGGCTTTGTGATTTATGCTAATACTGAAATGGGGAAGACAGTTACATTAAGTTCAGCAGAAATAAATTTGTCTTTTTTGGAAAATTCCTTCTAATAATTAATTGGCATTTCTTGATTGCATCTCCTTTTCTGGTTTTGTGATTCTGTTCTTGCCTTTTGATTCTTACTCTGCTCCCCTTGTCTGTTTTCCTGTGGATCTAGTATTTAATGCTCCTGTTCATTTAGTATGTCTAATGCTCAATACGTAAAGTAATGCAGAAAGAAGGTAATCTTTTTGTGGGCAGAGCAGATCACTAGTAAAGCTAACTCGTATCTGAAGCAGTACAAGTAATTCAGCTCAGTTGGGTGGTACGTCCTGTGACATGCGGGCGTGTTGGGTGAGAACGTACAGTGTTCAAAATGGCTTTCCTTGAAGGAGTGCCTCAGGGCTGGGTGCAATTGGAGAAGATCTTATCCTTGTGGGCAATAGCTCAAGCTCGATCTCCATACATGTAAGCTGCTAGCACTCCTTTGGTATTTGTTGTGGGAGTTGAAGTGGAGTGGCATCCAGGCAGCCAACTGTAATTTCAGCCACGGGTATCATTTCTATGTTGAGTAGGTTTTCTGTAATAAATTCAAAGCTGCGTGGCTGTAATCACTAGTATTTGGTTTGGAAATGTAATGTTAGTAGAGTTGAAAGCAGCATTAGAAGAAGAAATTAATGAAGGTAAAGGCTTTCTGCAAGAGGACAAATGTTTGGAATTTGCTATTCAGGGCGTCCCGTATCAGAACAGCACGGTTCAGGTGTGAACACTGCCAGCCGCCTTGAAAAGTGTGAGGACCTTGACTAAAAGCCAGTGTTCAGAGAATAGTGCATTGGATTTAAGTGGTTTGATGAGTCACCAGAACATTGATGCTAGGTTGACCACACCTTTTTAAATAGGGAACATCCTAAAATGAAGAATGTATTACTGGGGCACAGCAATACATGGAAAAACCTGAGGAAGAGCTTGTTATCTTAGCTTCCCACAAGAACTGGAGAGCTCTACCTGGACTATGAAACCAACCGAACCAATAGCAAAAAGTTACTTCCTTATTCAACAACTGAAACATAAGCAAGAGCTATTTTATGCTGCAAAAGAGAAGTAGCAATACCATCTTGTGTTGGCAAAATTGTAAAGGCGTGGGAAAACACATGGAAAAGTGCACAATAGACATCTCTTACCACTTTTGCTGAGCAGAGTTCCACCTGTGGTCTCAAAAGCAAACTCTTGGAAATCAAAACAAAAACTCTAACCTTCAACACTTCTCTCAGATTTGTTTGCTCTGGTTTACAGGTAAACATTGAGAGAAAAGTACATAAGAGAGCCAGATTTCAAATGACAATAACAGTGCCAAGGCCCAGAAAATACAGCAAAAATAACTTCAAAAAAAGAGTATTTGACAGGAAAACCACTGCAGCATCTTACATTAAATTTTTAAAATTCTATTGTATAATTCATTGGATGAATATTTGCACATTTTTGGTTTCGTTAGTAGAATTTCATTGTGGTTTTTATCACTGTTGTTTGAGGAACTGCGTGTAGCAGCATTGGTAAAAGAAGGATGCTTGAAAACGGAAAGCCTGATCAGTAGATGATATGTGATGGTAGGATGTTGCCTAATGTGAAAACAGATAATGTGTTGGTCATAGTAAAATGTCCTTACAGCAAACTGTCAAAATGTGGTATTAACACCACTTTTAGCTCTCTTGTTAAATGCAAGTATTAGTCATTTGGGTTAAAATCAAACATGGAAATGGCATTGACTTGGTTGGCCTACTTTTGGTATCCCATGATTAATCAGTATGAACTTTTCTGTGCAAGATATGGGCACCTTTGACAGCAGGCCACTGAAGGGGAGCGTTTTTTTGTGTTAATAATTGGGACTTGAGCTTCAACTTGAGAAAAACTTGTGCCTTTAATGTGCAAATGTGTGTCTAGCCTTGATTGTGAGAAATGTCCATCTAGACTTGT